CTCGGGCCTAGCCCCCCGCCCCCGGCTCCGGCCCCACTCACATGTCCGGCGAGTGCACGGTCTGCACGTGCCCGGCGTACAGCAGCTTGTCGTCCATGGGGATGAGCACACGCAGGCCATCTTTCAGCTCATCCTTGTCGATGATGCAGGAGCGCGGGGCTGCGGGAGGGGGCGGTGAGGCGGCTGCAGACCCTCCCTCCCTCCCGGGCCCCCTCCCCCCGGCCGGCCCAGTGCCCTTGGGAACAGGTGCCTGCGGGACCCTGCAGGCAAGTGTGTCACGAACGCGTGCCCAGACAGGGCTCGTGCAGGGACGTGCGCGCATGCACCAGCGTGCACAGAGGGCCCACTTCTGGAAAGGCCCCAGGTGGGTGTGAACCTGGTGACAGTCTCCACATGCTGCCCCTCCCCACCCAACACCACCCTCTGAGGCTGGGCATGAGGCTTGGGGGCATCAGCACCCCCGCCGCCTGTCAGCCACACCTCCCGTTCGTGCCATCCCAGAATGCCGTTTGTTCTGGTGGAAAACAGCTCCCATAGCCAAACTGCCCACCAGAGGCCTTGAGAGGCCTCATCGGCTTCCGCTCTCCCCCTCGAGCCTCCCGCACACGGCCATGAGAACACACCTGGCTAGCCCCCCAGTGCAGAGGAGCAAAGTGGCCCCTGCATCAGCAGACCCCAGCCATCCCGTAAACATGTCAGCAAACCCAGCCCAGCTCAGCTCTGCACCCACACGGAGACTGATACACGTTACGCAGCGGCAGCTGACTGATACACCCGACGAGGTGACAAAGCGCTTCGGGGCTGGCCCGGGCCCTCCTCTTGCTCCACGCTGCGCCCAACCCATTCCTCTCCTTAGCCTCCCCCAGCTCTATGCCCCTGGGGCCAAGTGCCTACCAGTGTCCCTTCCTTGGGCCGTCCTCCAGGCACTCCCAACCCATCAGAAAAGCACACACGTGGTCTGCCCCTGGCCCCCCCACTCCCGCCAACCTCAGTCTGCACCCCTTTGCTTCTCCGCATCTGCTCCATCCACCGCACAACCCATCTACTTCCTCCCCTGACATGTTCACCCGCCCCTGCTGCCCTCAGCAGCCCCTCCAGCCCTCACTGGATCCTGGCGACAGCCCCCCAACTGACTTCCTGCCTGCAATTCGTTCTCTATGCAGCAGAGCTACTCAGAACCCCTGACCACACTGCCCCCCCGACGGGCGACCTCTACACATCCTTTTACTTTGGGGGAAGCCCAAAGGCCTCAGGTGAGTCAGGGAACGGCCTCTGCTTCAGCCCAGCCCAGGCCCCGCCCACTCCCCCTGCCCCGCCCAGGCCCCGCCCACT